CGAGTCCAGATCAGTAGAAGTTGATGACGATGTTGAAGTAGGATGTTGAGAAGTCAGTCGTGTTGACGACGCATCTTGGCCTCGTTTCCAGTCCTCTTCTAAACTATCGTACAGAATCTTCCTGGCAACTTCCGCCCTCCTCTTGCCGTTGGTCCTTGAATCCTGCTGCTCTAAACTCTCGAGTCCAGTCTGTCGCCTCGACTTGCTTAATGAACCGCCATCAGAGATGAAGGCGTCAATATCGGACCTGCGCTGTTGAACCGAGCCGTCCTGCTTATAGCTCTTTCCTCCACGTCCTCGCTCGACTGAGGTACTCTCAGATTCATTAGGTCCGCGCTCCACTGCATGGCCACCTCGCTTGTTGTAAGTTCCGCTGTCATGCTTTGAACTGAAGGCCCGAATATACGACGTCTCTGGAATTGAAGGCGATAGGGAGAGCGCCTTGGCTGCTGAAGTTGAGGATGGGGGCTGTAAAGATGAGGCAGAAGACGAAGAAGAGGAAGAGGAGGATGCGAGGATACGGGAGAGCGATTGTGATAAAGACTGTAAGGGCATAGATCGGGTCGTCGACATCGTGTTGAACTCAATCGGCTGTACAGTTGAATGGACACTCCAGTCGAGAATAGTCCTGTAGACGTTCCTGTCGATCCGAGAAGGTGAATGGGGTGCATTCCGGTGGATGGTTGTTGGCCCCGAGAATGACAAAGGTGATGGAGAGGAGAGCGATGCAAGCGAAGACGACTCTATCAAGCGCCGAGTTGCGTCCATCATGGGGTCTGAGTCCTGTCTGATCTCAGGTTTCGACGCCAAGGAACTGGTGGTCTGAAGCGTCGTTAATCGTGTTGTAACTTGCTGGCGTGCTAACGAGCTGTCCGAGCTGCCGTATCCAAGGATTGATTCCGGTATTGTCAGTGCTGGTTTGGCAATTGCAGCTGTTGGTTTAATGTCTGCAGCTTGCGCCTCTGAATTTTGACCGACGTTGGCGCCCTTGAGTCCCTTGGCTACATCCTTTGCAGCTTCAGCGGCCGCTACGACCCTCTTCTTCTCCCTCTTGGCCTTCATCTTGATCGCCTTCTTCTCTTTCATAACGCCCGCTCTAGCTGCCTTCTTTGCATCCTTGACCTTTGACAGCTCTAGCTGCTTGATGGCCAGTGCTTCCTGTCTTTGCGCCTTCGTAGCTATTTTGATATCGATCTTTTCTGCATCCTGCTTGACTTTGCGCAATCCCGCTGCTTCCTCTCTGCCCCATTCCTTGGAGTTCGCGTTCTCAGCCGTTAAAGAGCCTTTCTCTACTGGTCCCTTGGCGCGGATCTTTTTATCGTCAGCGCCGCGAGACTTGGTGGCTTTGGGTATGACAAGTGAAGGAGCTGTGTCTAGGCTGGAGAGGGTCGAGGTGTTAGCGGGTGTAATTGTTGCATCCTTTGAAGTCTTGGCCGCGCCACTGCTGTTTATGACGCTGCTGGTGGGAGTTTCGGTGCTTTTGAGATGTGGTCTTGAGGTAGCGAGGGATCGACGCAGCGGATAAGCGTATAAGCAAGTGGGGGAGGGACGCGACCGTCGCGAGGTAGTGGAGGAGAGACACGAGAAGTGCTTTGAAACAGGGGGATGTAATGGGAAGGAAGACGGGGTGGGTGGGTAGGAGTAGTACAGGAGCCGCATCCTGAGGATGCGGATGTAGGCGAGAGACAATGTTGCCATGTGTAACACTCGACACGAAGGGGGAAGTAAGGGGGAGGACTAGGAGGAGGTGGAGGAGGAGAATGGAGATCGGATCTGTTGAATGGCACCAGTGATCCCTTGCCTCCCTTCACAGTCTGCCAATTTCGCCTCAAAACAAAACAGCTCTGAAAGGAGAACCTATAGATTCTAGGGCGAATGGCACTTAAAAAAAAAAAATACGTCACCGTATCACGTATCACGATGATAGTCTGCAGTCGCGACAGAACAGCTGGAGCATGGTGGTGACCTGATCCATACAGCAGTGGCAAGTAGGGCATCTCCTGGATGTATAGAACTCTTTCTCACGCATTGCTATATACCCAAGGGGATTTGACCTAAAAAA